AAAAATAAACTGTTGAATTAAGCACGATCAATACTGGGATTGTTTAATATTCATTTGCTTCTTGTTCATTCATTTTGTCGCTCGCTAGCAGATAAGCAGGAGCATCTGTCAAAGATTTAGGGAAAATTTATGGTTAAAAAAAGTTAAAATAGAGAAATTTCTACCCATTATCTGATTTTTTTTTCCACTCTGAGCATCCATCCATTTGCGGCGGGCATGTTTCCAGACTGCAGGCCTTGTCCCTGGAGAGCACAACTTGAGAACCCTTACTCTGGAACGTGAAGTCTAAACTCTTTGGCATGACCAATGCGATGCTTCCAGATTTGACCCCATCTTATCTTCCAGATTCATTTATAGCCACAGCACCCCTCACCTCCCTGGGCCGAGACTTGGAATTCGCTGTCTTGTGATTTTACAAATAACCATTCTTCTACTGCCTACCGCCCTCAACCCCTGCCCCCTCGATGATCAGATGACCTACTACTCATTCTTCAAGACTCTATCCAATGACTCTCCTTTCAGGTGACTTTCTCCATCTCTCTGGGTCTCTATCTCCCCAAAGTCTTGCTCCGGACTGATGACGTCACTGCTTGTTTGTGGAGCTATCTGCCAACTGGCCTGGGAGCTCCCTCCGGTTGCAGAAGGGATTCTCGTCACCCACCTTTTCTTGAGGTCTCTGGCTGATATGCAGCAGGGACTTGGGGCATATTTGTGGACTAAATGAGTACATTTGCAAAGGGAGTGAAGTTTATTTTTAGAATCTTCTAGCTCCCTACAGGGGCGCCATCTGTACCCTTTTTTGGCACCCCTTCCCCGACCCAACGGACTCTGTAACTTTATGCTGTCCATGTAAAAATCCACCAGGATCTGCCATCGTTCCTGGAGCCCAGGCTCCAAGCTTTTCCCTTGGTATCCTACCATACCTTACCAGTCCTGTGTCGCATCCCTCCGTGGGCTAGATTTCAGATAAACAGGTGGTTCTCACACTTCAGCGTTAAGTTCAAACCCCCGGGTTGCTGGGTCCCAGCCCTCTAGGGTCTGATTCAGTAGGTCTTGGGTGGGGGCTGGGAACTTGCATTTCTACTAACGTCCTAGGGGATGCTGCTAGACAAAGACCACATTTTCGAGAACCACTGGGATACATCAGTGCAAAACCAGGGGCGGCGGTTAATAAAGCACAAAGGAATCCTTACTTTGCCTTGACTCCACCCCTTCACTGAGTTTCTGATTCTGTTAGCACATCTGGATTTGTTTCATCCCAGATCATTTTCCCCTCTGCTTTGCTTTGTCCTCCTCTTCCAACTTCTTTTCAGATTGATCTTTTCAGATTGTTTTGTAGCCCAACGCTACTATCCCTCCCTTCCTCCTTCCATAAAGCCACCATTTCAGGACAAAAGCTTTCCTGAGCTCTTAGCTCCATTTCATCGCCCTCTTTTCCCTCCCCGCTCAGTTTTAGCCACTCCCCTACCCCAGCAGGGACTGACCTTTCTAAAGCTTGGCTCTGATTAGGATCCACTCCCATATAGCACGGTAGCCATTTCCCCTCCCCGGCAGTCTGGTTCCACAAACAACATTAGCATGCTAATGACAGTTACCTGCTGGCCCTGGGAAACCGCTGAGCGCGCCAGGGCTCAAGGACAGTGGAAACACTGAAAACAGCACGTTTAAATGCTTCCGTTCATTCATTCACTCAACAAACATGGATTGAGCACTGGCCAGACACCGCGCTGGGGCCGAGGGATCCCCCCAGAACACATGGATCATGGTCATGGGTTCACAGCAGCGCCCCAGGGCCCAGCATGCCTCTTCATGAAGCGGATCTTTTGCAGCACTCATCAAGGGGGACAGACATTCAAGAAGAAACTGACCCCTTGTGAGCCCTCTTGCCTCAGCCTTCCTGCTGTCGCTGTACCTGGGCAGGTAACCCAGGACCAAAGATTGGGAGACACCAACCCAGGGAGGGTCTGGACCTCTTTGTTGAAATAAACACTGTAATCCATGCCTCTCAGTGATCTGCCCACTGTATTGAGTGAGACCGAGGTATGTAAAGCCCAGAACACAGTGAGCTGAAACCTCTCTGCACATACACATACCCACTCAGACACACACACACCAGCACACAGCACTGGCACTCACACTTTTACACACATACCAACACACTGAAAATACACTCAACAGGAGTAAATACAAGCCAACACACACACACACTGACACATGCTGAAACACACAGACCTGTAGCTGACACACACACTGACACATACAAATGCACACCTAGTCCCACGTCAATACCACCCCACAGCCCGCAGAAACCCGGGATGCCCAGGACCTAGCAAGGGCTTGAAGAAGCAGATCTCAGAGAGGGACCAAAGGGTTCCAGGAGACTTGAATTACACACTTGGTTCCAGTCTGGAGGTCCAGATTTTTGGAGGAGGGGGCCTCTCAGGTTCTGAGAGTCCCTAGGGACGGGCAGGTAGAGTGGATCACTTTGGCAGGGTACCAAGGATTTTGAGCTAAGATACCTCCTGGAAGGGCTGAAATGTACCAAGCTTTGGGCAGCACTGAGTGCTAAGGCGGAGGATGGAGCGGGGGTGGGGGGGGAGAGTTGGTAGGGGGAAGTTAGGGCGCTAGGGGGTGGGCAGTACCCCAGAGAGCAGACAGGATTCCAGGAAAGCCCAGCTGCACCAGGCCCTCCTCCTGGCTCCGCTGGGCTCCCCGATGCTCTGGGTATCAGTTCTCGCCTCTGGCTTCTAGATGCACCCCTCTGGTGCCGCCACCACTCAAGTCCCACGTCCTGATCATTTAGTGACCTTGGGCCCTTCTCTGTCCACCACAGCCATGCCTTTGCCGGAGAGGACCTGTCTCCCTCCCAGACACCCAGCCGGAGTCACCTCTGACTCCCCGCCCCCATCCGGTCTGGGCACAGCCTTACAGCGGTTCCTCATATACAGCGCTGGTCCCGCCTGTTGCTGCCACCCCAATCCAGGGCCGGGCGCCTCCCCCAGGCCCTGCCCCAGCACCCTGGGGGGCCTCGGAGACTACAGCTGCCCCTGTTCCTTGCCATCACTATCTGCCCGAGGGCCCACGCTGTCTCCTGAACTCCCCTGTGCTGGTCCCTGGTTGTGCCAGGCTCCTCTCTTTTGGCCTCTCCTGGGTCTCTAGCGCAATGACCGGCACACAGGGGGCACCCTCAATGGGGCACCCTCAATACTTGGCTCTTCACGGCTGTGCTCCCCCCCCCCCCTTGTGTCTCTTTCTTCTGGACCCGCCCCCTTCCCCCACCTCCCATTCCAATCCTCCTCCCCCTTGCTCAGGAAACGCTGAATTGGAAGCTTCCTGAGTGCCAGATCCCGAACTAGGCACTGAGGGTGCATTTTGTGGAGTCCCTGTTCTCAAGGGGCACACCGCACCTAGAGGGCTCCCTGAGGCGGTGTGAGAAGCACTGTCCCCCAGGTGGAACCAAGTGCCAGGAAAGCACTTCACGTGGCCGCCCCATTTCTCTGCCTTCCCTCCTTCTCCCCAGGCCCGGGCTTCGGCATCGGCTCCCTTCTTCTCTCTCCCTGGTTCCTGTTTTTCTCCTTTTCCTCCCTCCTGCCTCCCCCTCAGCCGCTCCAGACTTTGGGCCGCTGTGGGACCACCTCCTCTATCCTATCCGGGCCACCTCGCTGTCCGGCTTTTGCTCATGGGTCTGCCTCCCCCTGAGGTCCCGGGTTCCACTTGGGGGTCTGGGCGCCTCTCCGAGACCAGGGCACCAGCCTTGCGGAGGAGTGGAGCGCAGTGTCCGCCAGCTAGGGCTTCGGGCACGCCAAGTCGGCTAGGGCTCGCGAGTCCTAGGGAGCCAGCAAGGGGCCACTCCCCAGGAGGGGTCGGGGGCGTCAGGGCTGGAGAGGGGGAGAGGTGCCGAGGGCGAGGGAGAGGGCCCGCGGCGGCGGCTGGCCAGGAGGAAAAGGAAAGCGGGCTGGCACAGCCTCTGCCTTCGGACGCTCTCCCTGCGCACCGCCGGCCGCCTTCTCCCGGGCTGAGCGAAGGTGAAGGGGAAATCCGGGAGGGACCGAGCCACCGGAGGCCGCTCCCGGTCACTCCCACATCCCGCTCGACAGAGCTGGGGGTCTTCATCCCTAAGCTCCTCCTCTGAGACTCCCTGGCGACCCAGGCGCTAGAAGGGGGTCGTGGTCTGAACCCCCGCTCACACGCTGAGCTTCTAGGGCTTGGTGGGGAGAGGAGTGAGGGGTCCGTCTGTATGAAGGACCCAGGAGTGGTGAGCTCGGCTCCACGAAATTACAGCCTACAGCATCCGAGGCTTGGAAACCCCAGGGCAGAAGGGGACCTCGAGTCTGCGGGCCTCGGACTCCGCACGTCACAGCTCAGTTGCGGGGCCGCAGTGCGGATCCCCCCAACTGCCCCCTCTATCTAAGATCCACTGTGGAGCGGCAGGTGCCGCAGCTGCCCACTCCCGGGCCATGGGGGTGGGAGGAGGTGTAGAGGAGCCTCGCGTCTCCAGCCGCGGGCGCTCGCATCGGAGCACCCTGAGATCACGGTGGAGAGGAAGAGGGGGTACAGGGGGCTGGGAGGAGGGGGAGGAGGACTGCAGAGCTCAGCCGCCGAGCTGTGCGCGGGAGGGGGAGGGGCAGGGGCTCCCTTCCAGCCTCCGGGGTCTGGGGACTCTGGGATGTAAGGCGAGAGCAGGGGGGTGTGACAATTCAGCAGAGGTCGGGACGTACCACGGAGCCAGTGGCGGGGGGGGGCAGAGGACGTGGTCACCGAGGGGAGCCCCCGCCCCCCTTCGCAAAGGCCTACAGCTGAGGTTGCAGGGAGAACTGGAACTGGGCTCGCTGTAGGGGGAAGCGGGGCGTGAAATCCGCCCCCTCCCCATACCCCACTTCCGAGGGGGTGGACGATAGAGAGGAGGTCGGGGTTGGAGCTGCGGCGCGGGGGCCCCTCCCTCGCACCTCCCCCCACCGGACTTGGTCGCGCCCGAAGTGTAACACTTTCTCTTTGTCGGAGAAGCTCCGCTGTTTCTTGTGCTCTAGCTCTGGTGGCGGCGGCACCCGTGGCAGCCCTGGCGGACGCAGGAGCGATGGCAGCGACCGATATAGCTCGCCAGGTGGTGAGTGACCGGCTGGGGTGCCGGCGCCAGGGGCCGGGGGCCTGAGAAGGGCGGAGGAGACCTGGCCGCCGCCACGGCCGCGGCGAGGGCAGCGGGCAACATCCAGGAGTCAAGGCGCGGCAGGACTTCTGCTCCCGGGGTCCGCGGCTCACTCCCGCAGCCTGTCCCCGCGGGTGGCGGACGGATGAGGGGGCCTGGCGGAGGCTTCGGGCCGGCCGCTGAACTTGCATTGCCCTAGGGCTGCAGTGAGCGCCGCCGCCTCCCTCGCTGCAGCTGCCGCCGCGCCACTGGGGCGTTGCCGAATGAATGGCCGAACCAGCCGCGAAGCCCTCGAGGTCCCAGGCTCCCTGGTCTCGCTTCCTCTGGCCGTCGGGCCGCCCCTCTGCGCCCAGCAACCCCCTTCCCGGGACCCGGGCCTCCAGCGGAAGAGGGGCGCGGGGCTGGGGTGAGCCCGGGGCAGGAGGCGGTGAGTGGTGGTGGGGGGGGCGGGGAGGTGACTGGCTGGGGTAGGGTTTCTCCATATGCATTACATATGTGACTGCGTCTGTGTGTGTGTATCACCGTATGCGTCCGAGTGCACGCGCGCGCACTCGTGCCTCCCGGGCAGGCGGCGGCGCCGGGGCTGTCTGTGACCCTAGATGAGTCCGCCTGTTTCTCTGTGGGCGCTCACCTCCGTGGCGTGTGTCCTTGTGTCCCAACCCTCTCTGCTTGTGACGGGTGCCTGTGGGTCCCGTGTATGCGTGCGTGTGTGCGTGTGCGTGTGTGTGCAGCTCGCTGGTCTGGAGGGGGTGGCTGCGTGTTTTAGCATGTTTCTGGATACCTTGACCGGCGGTTTGCCAGCCCCTGGGGGTCTGCCTCGGGTGCGTGTTGCGCGTAACTGGGCTTGTATGCCAAAACCTGTGCAGCTGGCTTCTTCCTATGGGGACTCAGGAGAATAAGTGTGAGGCTTGCAAAAGCGGTGCCGTCTCATTTTGTTGGCAACAGACTCTGGAAAAACAAAAAACAAACAAAACCTTCTTTTAAAGAACTGAAGTTTTCCAGCCTGGGATGTTCAGAGAAACCATAACTGAAGTGACCAGAGGCTCCATATTTGTTTGTTTTTTTTTTTAGACCAGAAGTTTGGTTGTAAAGGGAGGGGGTGATTCCATTTGGGGGAACAGTGTAACCTTTCTCTTCCTCCGTGGTATCGGAGGTCTTCAGAAGCCCGCAGTTACCCTCACTCACTCTATGTTGAGGGAGAGTGAAGTAGGGGTAGGTGAACCCCATAACACCATATACTACTGGATGAAGATCTCCGAGCCACACACACACACACAAAAGTTTTTAAACCTTGTGGCTTACTTATTTAGGGAAATAGTCTATGCACTGTAATTCCAGAGCCAAAAAAAAAAACAAAAACAAAAACAAAACAAAAAAACCCCCAAACCTCTAGGTATTTGTTGTAATTGAAATTGATTCGTTTTTGTTTTCAAAATCTGAATCCAGAATCTGGTTGTATTTTCTCTACAGGATATATATGAATTTTTTCCACCCTCTTGTCTCTGTCTGGAAGGGCAGGATGATTTTTTCTGAACCTCCCCAACCCCTGCAGACCCCAGAACCAGATCTTTACATTGTTATGATGCAGGAGGACCAGGAGTAGGTAGACAGGGCTCTGTGATCATGGAATTTGACAGGATTCTCTTCTCTCTGAGATTGGCACTGTCATATTTATTGCTGTGGCATTTTGAAGGTTCCCAGAGTGCTTTTCTGCTCCCTGTTACCTGCATTTTAGAGGTGGCGTGGCTTAAGTAGAGGCATTAAGTCTCCTGGATTACACTTGCCCTGTCTTTAGTGACCAAAAAGGACGCTAATGATTTTTCTTGTCAGTTAATTAATTTGCATCGACCTGTCCTTGCTCCCTCACCAGTCCCCCTTGCCTGGATTAGGATTGCAGGGCAGATGTCGTAATGGGGAACATTCCAGAAGGTTGTGTTTCACCTCAGGCAGATTGAGGCAACCCAGAGGTCCCCTTTGTTTGGCGGATGGGGGGGTGGATGGGTGTGATTTAGGGCCTTTGGTTTGCTTTGCGTGGTTCCAGTTTGCTCTGGCTGGCCTTGCCCATACTGTATGATGAAGAAGATAATTGTAAGCCAGATTCCGAAGCTGAAAGAGCGGCCCAAGCACTTGAGACCTTGTTATCAGGATAAATGGGTTTCTGGGAAGACTGACGTCACTCTCCCTGCCCCCCCTCCAGTCTGTAAAGCTCTTGTTTATGTGTCATTTGTCTCTCTGCTCTCCTTTGTGTCTGCAAGAAGTTGTAATTCACCAGGGGAAGATGGAATTAACTCAGGAGACCTTGGGTGTCTGGTTGCTGCTTGTTTCTTCCAAGGAACACGTATCCAGGGTTCGGGAAGAGAAGACTGGAGAATCAACTTAAGTGTGCCTAGCGTAGGAGTTCTTTTGAATGAGCTCTGAGACATGGAGCCATCCAAGCAGCAGTCTGCTGTGTGCCTGACGGGGGAGGTGTTCTTTCCAGAATCAGTTGAAGGTCACCGTGGCTAGTTAGGTAACATCATTAGTGACTTAAAACAGGCCATGGAGTTGTTGGATAGGACCCTTCTCTGGGCATGCATGATGCTTGGAAGTTCAGCTCTTGAGTACGCAATCCAATCCCGTCCCATCTGAACAAACACCACGAAGATTCTGCATGCCAAAACCGTTTCTCCATTGTGTCCACTCGTTGACTTTTCACCGATAAGTGTCCAGCACTGTGGCTAGCCCTGGTGAACTCGACCAAAAAAAAAAAGTAGCAGACATAATTCCTGGCTTTTTTTTTTAATTAATAATTTAAATAAAAAATTTTTAAATGTATTTATTCGACAGAGATCACAAGTAGGCAGAGAGGCAGGCAGAGAGAGAGCTGAGCAGAGAGCCCAATGTGGGGCTGAATCCCAGGACCCTGGGATCACGACCTGAGCTGAAGGCAGACGCTTTAACCCACTGAGCCACCCAGGTGCCCTAAATTTTTAAAAAAATTTTTAAAATATTTTATTTATTTATTTGAGAGACAAGAGAGACAGAGATAGTGAGAGAGCATGAGTGGGGAGGAGAAGGAGAAGCAGAGTTCCTGCTGAGCAGGGAGCCAGATCTAGGATGATCCCAGGATCCTGGGATCACAACTGGGGCCAAAAGCAGACACTTAATGGACTGAGCCACCCAGGCGCCCAGCTCCTGGTTTTTAAGCTTATGGTCTAAGCTTGGAGAGACAGATTGTGGACACTGTGAAATAATTAGAGAACTTTAGAAGATTCTTGGGCTGTCCCCACTCCCAGCCCCTACCTGTGAGGTGACTTGGGCTGCTATTAATATATACTCTTTAAGGGTACATGACTCGTCCAAGGTCACGTAGAAAGCCACAGCCCAGCAGGCTTCAGGGGCTACATCTTCTGGCTTTTTCATTGAGCTGCTTCTTTCAGTGTTGCATTTTTAGGTCCAGACTGTTAAGGGCTGGCCTGTAAAATGAACAGCTCATTGAGTCTGGCTTGAACCAGTCCCACAAGGTGGACAGTGATGCTGTCCTCCAGTGGCAGCCAGGGAATGGTCTTTCTCCCTAATGAAAGATTTTGCAGGGACTAACTCTGCCCTACCCGGGGACCTGCCTACAGGCTGGGAGACACCTGCCTCTGCATTCTGGTCTTGCTACCAAATGGCATTTACCCTCCATTCCCCCTGGAAGCTCCCTGCCTCACTAAAAGGAATATTCTACTCCAAGCGGGGAGAGCAAAACTCCAGTATGTACCCATACCTCCACTGAGGACACAGCACAGAGGGAAATTTACATGGCTGGGGTGCCTGGGTGGCTCAGGAAGTGGAGCAGCCATCTCCTCCTATCAGCTCAGATCATGATCATCTCAGGGTCATGGGATCAAGTGCAGCATGGGGGAGGGCTCCGTGCTCAGCTGGGCATCTGCTTGAGATTCTCTCTCTGCCTCTGCCCTCCCCCCCTCCTGCTTGCATACTCCTGCACTCTCTCTCTCTCAAATAAATAAATAAATCTTTAAACATAAAAAGAAAATTTGCACAGCCTCCAATATTAAAAATCATTGAATAAACCAAGCTGATCTAAACCATTGCTGATCATGGTACTATTTTCTGACTTTTCTGTGTTTGAGACTTTTCCAAAGAAAAAGCTGGGGGGACGGGGCACCCAGGTGGCTCAGTGGGTTAAAGCCTCTGCCTTCTGCTCAGGTCCTGAGAAGCGGGGCAGCACTGGGCTCGCTGCCCAGCAGGGAGCCTGCTTCCCTCCCCCTCTCTCTGCCTGCCTCTAGGCCTACTTGTAATCTCTGTCTGTCAAATAAATAAATAAAATATTTAAAAAAAAAAGAAAAAAAAAGCTGGGGGAGTCAGGAAATGACAATGTTCCGTCCCCCCAAAGGCATACGGTCTCTTCCCTCAGAGAGTTTACTATCTAGTAGTGGAGGCAGACTTAAATAACTATATAATTATCATCGTGATCAGTGCTACACAGCTCAGCTGTGGCCTGCTGTAAGAATTCATTACCAGCGGACCCAATCCAGCCTCCGGTGCGGGCGGTGGGTGACCGGAAAGGACTCCTGAGGGCTTTGGCTAAGAAAGCGGGTGGGTGTGAAGATGGGTGAGCTCTCACTCTGCTCCTGGCCTGAGAGCATTTCATTTGTTCATTCATGCACTTCTCTTCTCATTGATTCCTTCAGTGAGTGTTGAGGGGCACGCGCTCTGCCAGGCCCTGGGCGAGGTGCTGGGGTGTATGTGGTGCCCAAGGCACACAGGACTGTGCCCTCTGAGAGCCCCCCCCATGACAGGCAGGAATCAGCCCCGTTTCCTTTCATTTCCTAAATCCTGGAAATGTTGAGTGTTAGCAGTGTTCTTATTACAAAACTGCATTACAGCTGAGCGGTTTGTCTGTATAGTATAATGAGATTTTGATCTGCAGTCATGTGCATAGCATTTACCTTGCAGAGCCTCTGCTGTAAATTTTCCGTTAATTGCTGGCTTTGTTACCCAGCACGGCCCCTCCCTTTGTGCGCTGTAAGGGAACACACCCGTTGCATGAGCCTGAGCAAAACTAATTAGGAAGATAAGTCCCCTGGAAAAAGGTATTCCAAAACCAGACAGGACTGATTTCTAGACTTGCCTGGGTTTCTGGATTATCAGAGCCATGGTTTTGTATTAGCACGAACAACTGAGAAGGGCTTGTAAGTGGTGTGTACTCTTTGGACCACATTCAAGAAAGAGAAGGAGAAGAGAAAGCAAAGAGAATACCATGGATAAGTGGAACAGGTTTCTTTCAACGGTCTCTAAATGCTGTCATCTATATTTCCCGGACGAGTCTTCGTGTTTTCTTCTTTTATGGGTACAGGGAGACCAAGGGACCTAGTCCCAAGTGTGTGTTAGTGTTGTTCAGTGGCTGAAACAGTGAGACCCACACCGGATGACACAGATCCGTTCAAAACAACCAAACCTGCCCTTTTCGCGAAGTTTCTAAGAAACAAAAATCCTGCCAGACCCTAACTTCCCCCTCTCTTCACTGCATTCCTTCCTACCCCAGTGCACCCGTGGCGGGGGGGGGGGGGGGGGGGTGTAGCTCAGAGAAGATTATCCTTGGATGCCTTGAAGATTCCGTGATGGTGAAAAGATTCTCCACTTCAATCCCAGATAGCGCAGTCATGGGTTACGTGTGGGTTTTCTTTTTTCTTTCTTCCCATATTGCTTTAAATAAAAATCTTGGAGCCACCAGCCGTGTAATGATGGATTATTTTAAGTAACAACGGGGGGCGGGGAGGAGCCGAATAAATTAGAAACACAGACCCTTCCTCCTCGGTTTGGCAGGAGGAGGCTTCTGCTGCTGGGATTTGAAACCGTGGGTTTCTCCGCCGCCTGCAAGAGGAAGGAGGCCACATATGTGCTCAAGGAGGGTGAGAATTATGCCGCGTGCTCCTTGCTGGCCCTGGACTTGGGTCATCCGTTCCACTCACTTAAAGGTGACTGGGGAAAAGATTTGCAGGCCTTTTCCGGGGTGGGGAGGTAGGAGACAGGATCAGGGCTCAGGTTTCTGCTGGCAGGGCCCCCTGGAACCCCCTAATGAAGGCCCTGGGGTAACAGCCACAGATCTCTGCTTTCTGACCCTGATGAGGTGTGAGGCGGTGCCGAGTTTCCTTTCCCAGCGGAGGCCCCGGCTCTGAGCACCGGCGCAGAGGCAGGAACTGGGTTTTCTTAGATCCACTTTAAATGAGACCAGATGGAGGCAGAGGCAAATTCAGGCTCCCTAGAGGACAGCTGGGCATTCATCCAGAGGCCTGTGAGTAAACCTTTTTTTCTTTTCTTTTCTTTTCTTTTTTTTTTAAAAGCAGATTAGAGATAACAGTGGCCGGAACACCTCGAAAACTCTGTTTAAAGAGCCTAGCCCGGAGGGAATCTGGCTTTATGTGGGAAAGGTGACCTGCTACCCGCAGGAGTGGCCCCTGGCCTGAGATGGAACTGGCTTTCACCTAGAATCTGGCTAGTTGGGTTAGGTCGCCCTGGGGCTCAACCTTAGTTAGGCCCAAATCAGACTGCCTCAGTTGCCCTCCATGGGCCAGACCCACCACGGTGAGCACACAGGGGTCCAGGTCGTGATCCGTGACCCTTGTCCCTCTTGACTGTCCTTAAGCCACAAGCCCGATGCCCCCAGAACTTCAGCAGCTTGAAGGAATATACCTGCCAACTTGGAGTCAAGCTTTCCCACCTTAAAGCGGCCTTGCGCTCACCAGGGCCGGGAGCCCTGCACTGCTCCGCTCTCTGCCCCAAAACCCCAAGTCACTTCCTCTCTCTCAGACAGTTTCCCCTTTTGCAAAAAGAGCGGGTTGGTGTAGGTGAGCCTTCAGGGCCGCGACCAGCTCTAACGCTGTATGGTACTCTGTTTCCTTGTTCTCCAGCTTAATTTCTCTTAGGCTCTAGCCTGCTTCTACTTCTGTCCGAGGTGGCCGACTTGAACTCCACCACTTACCTGCTTTGACTCCTCGAGCGAGCAGGGTGGGGAGAGAGTTGAGGGAAAGGCAAGTCTGTGCTTTGAGCTCAGCCGGATCTCTGTAAGCATAACAGAAACAGCGGTTCAGATGGTCTGCCCATAGGTGTAGTGAGCTATTGTCTTCCGATAAAGGTACATGACGGCTGAATTTCTGTCTATTTGAATCCCATTTTAAATGCACTAGGAGAGCTGGCCATTTAATGGAATCCTGCTGCGAATCATTTTATAGAATGAAAAGCCACTCAGGAACTGATCTGGTGTATTAAAATCCAGAGTTTCTTCTATTGGATTTGCCAAAAATGGGCCTTCTCCCTGCATGGTAAAGATGGTTTCCTTTGTGCTTCCCCAGGGTCCCCGAAGCTGCTTCCCCACTGAAAGGCCCAGGTGGGCAAGATTTCTCTCTCCTTGGAAAGGGCCCCCCCTTCCAAACGTCTCTCTCCCAATTCAGGGCATTGCTACTCTTGTCAGTTTCCTCTTAGCCTGGCTTAATCGGCAGGAGGGAAATCCTGACATTTGCCGTGGGAGACACACTGGAGGTTTTTTTTTTTTTTTTTTTTTTTTTTTTAATAATCTCTGGGAACTTATCAGTGTTTTTGTGGTTCTTAGGGCCGATAATACGGTGGTGTCCACTCCCCCGACTGGAGGCCATGGAGAGGGCTCTCAGCCACCTGATTGCTGCAGCAAGCAGTTTTTCTGGATGTTTGCAGATATGTGATTTGACTTCTTGTTCCCATGAATCCTTATAATAATAAGTTATACCGTATAATAAGTTATGTATATATAGTGTTATAGTAAGGATAATAATAGGGCTTTGTTCTCATATTGGGAAAACAAATGTTTACATACAATAAAACTGCCCCAAAGTGGACTACTTAACCAGATTTTCTGATTATCTGTATGTAAAGCACCTTTCTTGTAGCTGTGGTTGAAGATTTTGCCAAAATATCTGAGGCTCCTTCCCTTGTCTTGGCTGAGGGACTCAGTCGGTTAAGTGTCCAACTCTTGATTTCGGCTCAGGTCGTGAGGTTGCGAGATCAAGTCCCACATCAGCTCCGCCCTCAGTACGGAGTCCTTGCTCAGCTCGGAGTCCGCTTGAGATTTTCTCTCTCTCTCCCTCTGCCTCCCCTCCCCCGCTCTCTCAAATAAATAAATAAAATCTTTAAAAAAAAGAAAAGCATAAGGAAGGGAAAACACATTTGTAGTCCTTTCTTGTATTTATGGGGAATAAATGCATGCATATGTGGACCCAGGCAATTCAAACTGCGTTGTTCAAGAGTCAACTGTATATTCTTCCGAGCTTTAAAAAATACATTTAGGCATGGTGCCTGGGTGGCTCAGTCATTAAGGTTCTGCCTTTGGCTCAGGTCCTGATCCCAGAATCCTGGGCTGGAGCGCCGCAGAGGACTCCCTCCTTGGCTGGGAGCCTGCTTCTCCCGCTCCCACTCCCCCTGCTTGTGTTCCCTCTCTCACTGTGTCTCTCTGTCAAATAAATAAAAATTTAAAAAATATATATATATATGATTTCCCCCATGATTGGAATGATCCTGTATATATAGGGTTTTGTTTTGTTTTGTTATTTGCCTATTTGGTGATCATTTTCCCATGTCACTGAATATTCTTAGAAAATGTCTTTATCAGCTGCTTAATATTCCATTGTGCACCATTGAACTATTGTTTAATTTTGATCATCCTGAGGGTTGCAGGATCTATCAAAGATCCGTATTTAATGGGATCAGAAGGGAGAAAAACCATAAGAGACTCTTAATCTCAGGAAACAAACTGAGGGCTGCTGGGGTTGGGGGAGGGAGAGGGTGTCGGGGTGATGGACACTGGGGAGGGTATGTGCTATGGTGAGTGCTGTGAAATGTGATGAGTCACAGACCTGTACCCCTGGGGCTAATAATACGTTATATGTTAATAAAAATAATTAAATTTTTAAAAAGATCGGTATTTAGGGACATCTGGGGGGCGCAGTCGGTTAAGCTTTGGCTCTTGATTTGGACTCAGGTCATGATCTCCGGGTGGTGAGATGGAGCCCTGAGTGGGGTTCTGTGCTGGGCGTGGAATTTGCTTAAGATTCTCTCTCTCCCTCTGTCCCTCCCCCAAAGATCGGCATTCAGGGCTGGGACAGAGATGGAGAAAGGAAAGGTGTGAGAAATCAGGCCCACCAGTAAGTGACATGTGAGACTGCTGGAGTGAATCCTATTTCCAGTGTATCTACAAGGTGCAGAGGCCAGAGGAGAAAGTTTAGGGAAAGGCGCAATGAGTTCCAACCTTTATGTTTTGGCCTCATACTTCTGTATTTCCTTATTGATTTAAGTCATCTCTGCCTCCCACATGGAGCTTGAACCCACGACCCTGAGAGCAAGAGTCCCATGCTCTACCCACAGAGCCAGCCAGGTGCCTTGTTTTGGTTTCCTTCTTCAACATGTCAGCTACTAACTCAGCTCCCCCAACTCGAGGCGGAGGCGGGGAAACTCCACTGATACAGACGGATCCTCAGTTCCCAGAGGCCTCCTGGACCTCTTGCTTCCTATCCCGCCAAGGCTGGAAGAGGGGTGGGGTGGGAGAGGGGGACAGGGGGACAGAGACTGCCCATCGGGGTGCTTATGGGACTCTTTGTTTTCAGAATAACAGCAATGGGAGCAAGTTGCACAGCTGGAACCGGCATAAACTCATTCTTAGTAACATGCACCTTTGAATATTCAATTAAGAAATGAAATTGGTGTGTCCCCAGGGGACGAGGCGGAAGAGAAAGAGAGTGGTGTTTCTGCCCGTGATGTGAAATGTGGTATAACGTATTTTAAACCGCAGGTGACTGCAGATGGGGAGAAAACAGGAAATGTAATTGGCGGGGGGGGGGTGGGGGGCTCTCCCAATTCTCAGGAGCACTCTTTCATTTTGCCTTCCTTTTAGCTCTTCTCAGATTTGGCATCCTAATTACCCCTGCTGTAAAGCTGAGCGAGAGCTCTCTTTTCTTGTATTAAAAATGTTTTTAAATGACATGGGTATTGTGTGAATACATTCATGCTGTAAAAGGATCAAATAATACGGAAGCATACAGACTAGCCCCTTGTGTAAGCCCCTGTTTGCGCATCACTCCCCTGAGGTAGCCACCGACGTTCCTGGGTTTGGTGGGATTTTTTTCTTGGCTTCTTTCTATGCATTCACAACCATTTATGTGCAAGCACACATATATTGGGCTTTTTTTTTGCACATGTGGCCTCCCCCTGTGCTGCTTGTTCTACAGCCTCTTTTTTCTACATTGGAATATGTCTTGGAGATATTTGCATTGGAACATACAGACCTGCTTCATTCTTCTTCCTTTTTAAGGATTTATTTATGTATTTAATTTATTATTTTTTAAAGATTTTTATTTTATTTATTTGACAGAGAGTGAGCATGAGTAGAGGGAGCCCCAGGCAGAGGGAGAGACAAGCAGGCTCCTCCCTGAGTGGGGAGCCTAACACTGGATTCAATCCCAGGACCCCGGGATCGTGACCTGAACCGAAGGCAGACGCTTAACCAACTGAGCCACCCAGGCGCCCCTATTTATTTTAGGGAGGGAGAGAGAGAGAGTGCACATGAGTGGGGGGAGGGCAGAGGGAGAGGGAGAGAGAGAACCTCAAGCAGGCTCCCCGCTGAGTGCAGAGCCTGATGTGGGGGCTCTTCCCACGACCCCAAGATCACAACCTGAGCAGAAACCAAGAGTCGGGTGCTCAACAAACTGAGCCACTCTTGTGCCCCAAGACCTACCGCATTCTTCTTAATCCCTGCAGAATATTCTAGAATATACATGTACCATGATTTAGTTAAATATTTTTCTGTTTTCAGACATTTATGAGTTTTCCCCCTAGTATTTCAGTATTGTCATCATGCTGCAATGAAGTTCCTTGTACATGGATCTTTGTACAGATACTGACTTGCTGCAGAATAGATTCCTAGGGAGGTTGCAGGGTGACAGGAGATGGGCCC